GACTCCTGGGCCTCAATCTGCCTACTCCCCAGGTTTCGTCATGAGTTCTCTCTAAGTTCTCAATCTGCCTTTCGTAATCCGATTGCGATAGAACATATGTAGGCCAGACCAACAGACGTGTAACAAGTAGAGTATGCGAACATCAACTTGCTGTACGAAAGTTAGACCCATACTCAACCTTGTCCAAACCTCATCAAGAGACAGGACACACCATTGCGAGCACTAAGACCATCGCCACAGCGAAAACACTATGATCTTCAGCAATATTTCCATTTCCCAAATCCGCAACTTCCTCATCATTGAGCTGAGCAAATTTAGAGGGATCTAAAACAAAAAATAAGGTAGCAATCTAATAATCAATTTTCGTGATACAATTTGAAGGACATGAAAATTATTCAAACGATACGTGAACATATGCTACTGCATTTATTTAATTTCGATTAATTACGGAAGGTAGTATTTTCGATATTTTCATGCTGGATTTTCTCATAAGTTCTCATCATTTCTTAGATACTGACGTACTTGCAGATGTTAATATAATTGTTTTGAATGCTTTCAGGCGAATCAGGTACTTTGAACCAGTTAAATGTATACTGTCCATTATCATTGTGAAACGAGCCATGATTTGATAGGTCTAATTGAGATGGATTTTTTTCAAAAAAATTGGTCCACATGTTTGATATATATGCTATTCTTTAAATTTGATGATGTAACTCTCTGGCACATGGTGGTAGATTAGATGCATCAAACGATGTAACTTGTTTCTTGAAAGATTCCATGTCATCTATCACTCCGTAATGTCGTTCAAATTTCCGAACTCTCGCTTCATTCTTGAGACTTTGGATAACTTATTTTTGGTTGTTGCATACATACGGCATACAAATTCTTCAATTATTGGTGCAGTGTCGGCAACCCAAAAAGGATTTTCCAAGTCTGCAAAATCTTTTTCAAACTTTTCGTTGCCCATTAAAATCGACAAATTTTTTTCTTTTCTTTTGTAAAAAGCTAGTGTAAAATAACAGCCGGTTAAGGCATGGAATGCAAAGCCAAGAGCCCGTCCGATTCATGAGGCATTTATGAATCTGCAATTGTTTCCAAAACCAAATTGTGAAGTAACATTAATACTTGTGCTATCACAAATTGTCTACCACTCTCGTCTAAACACGGTCGATTCTTCTGCCAATTGACAGTTTGTCCACTCAATAATTATTGTATATTGCAAGGAAACAACGGCAGACGATAAACGTTGGTCAAAGTTATTACTTTTTTCTGCAAATTAAAAAGTATTTTCCAGTTGTATCAACACGATCTATTCGTCTGCCGATTGACAATTTGTCTACCTAATAATAATATACATTGCAAGGAAACAATAGCAGACGGTAAAATGTCGGTAAAAGTTATTACTTCTTATATCTTTTAAATATCTTTTATACAGTAAAAAATGGTCAGGAAACTGTGAAAAAATTGTTAATCAACTAATGCCTATAAATTATTATTTAATCGGCAGACCGTCTGTCTTGTGAAAATTCGTTCATTTCATGCTACTTTTAGTCTACGCTGTGCTTGGCAGACGGTAAAAAGTTGATTTCAGCTAACTTTTTTTTGTTGAATGAAAAATTCATACTTCAGCCAGAACACCATGTAATCGTCTGCCAATTATTTTCTTGTGGGTTGTGTAACCTAGCCTTCCAGTTGCATGAATGGCAGACGGTAACATGTTGATCAAAGCTTTTTTCTATGCAAACTAGAGTTAATATTTAAACATATGTAACATGGGAAAAAATCGTTTAACGCATAATACTGTTGCTTGTGGCTGTAAATAGTAGTAGAAAGTCAAAAACTTTCTTTCCCAAAAATTAATCACTCCTAGAAATATAAGCCCTACAATTCAAGTATAATTAGGTATACCAAATGATCAGTTTCGAAAAAGACCGGCCTTCATGCAATCGGCACGAACCCTACAACCGTTTTGGAATTGCCCTACATCCAAAATTCGATGTGGAGAAATCCGCATCTGGTGACAGCAGCTGCCAAATTTAATTTGACAAAACAATTACGGCATTAGCAAGGAGTGTCCAAAGGGTGGCAACTAGCTAAATGATATAGACAGTTAAAAGCCAACGTTGTTACAGCGGTGATTATGGCGGGATTGTATGGTATATATCGTAAGTCCAGCATTTGAAAAAAATAACCTAGCTGAAGGCTAGGTTATCGAGAGAACTATTTGTGTTAGTTTAATCATAAACTAGAGGTACCAATTCTATCGTCAAAATGAAATTAGTTACTGATAATTGATAAGTTTATTACAGTACTGTAGATTTTTCTCAAAAGGCTCTGATTTATCATAAAAAATTAGTATCAAAATACTTGACGAGAAAATTAGCAAATTCATATTTCAAACATTCGTTGTGGAATAAAAATCAGATATCATTCACATTCAAGATGGAGTAGTAGAAAGCCAAAAACTTTCTTTCCCAAAACTTATATGTGTACTCAGTGCTCTCACCATTTTTCTAGTACCATCTGCATCCATCTCTTAAGTACAATAACTTTTTTTTGTTGATGTTCAATCAACAAACTTACGAGGGTATAGCCAAGTAGCACTAAAAGTTCTATAGTTGTGGAGTGGAGCTTGTGGAGCTAACATGATTTGAGGCATAAGGAAATTCAAAAAATCATGATAACCTGCGCTCTTTTCTGGAACAGAATTTTAAGATGAACTTCTGAAGTAGTACACTTAGGAAGAATTCGTATAATAAGAATTTCATCGTAGTGACTGACGGCACTGAAAAGATGTCAGGATAAAAACAGCAGAAAGTTGATCACTGTATCAGCATAGATAGCAAAACTGCTTTCCATATTCGACAAAAACCACGAAATGGCAGAACAATTGCTTCCTTTGAGAATGCAGATCTTCTGATTTTTGAAATCCTTGTAGGGATAACACTAATATCCTAATATCAAAATCTTGCATCCAGAAAACTAATCATCTTCGACAGAACTCCCAACATTCCGGATGATGAAAATAGTGAGAACACCAGGGCGCCCATGAACTTTTGAGTTTGAAGGGTTAACATGACAGTATGGTCTGGATGAAGCCTTCGAAGTCATCAGTAATTCGGATCCCCTTCTCTGCATGGTCTCTATATGACAGCTGCCTAAGAGCCCATATGAAAGCTGCAGATATCACTTCATTCCTTCGGCTACACAAAGATAAGCCAATACATGTGGTCTTCTTCAACAACATTGAAGACCTCAGCTTAACAAAGCGCCTGAATTTCGTTTTCCTCAGGTCTAGCGGGCTGAAGTCGGAATCTGAGGAGTTCTCCTGGTCTGCCAGGATGGTGTTTTCAACACCTTAGTCAACCGTAGTCGCGTGATGAGTATAGATGTTCCAGATACAAGGTGCAGGGACTGCGACAAGGCGCCTGAGACGCTAATGAATTTGCTGTCAGCATTTGCAGCACATGAGGTCTCATGTATTCATCGACATTACGCGGCCCTAAGAGAGCTTCAATACCACCTACGGCACATTTGCGATATTGACGATACACCGGTGTTGCCCTACGCTCCGGGGGATATTGAATCCGTTATGGGGAAGTTCCACATTTTTTGAAACTATTCGTTCCCCACCCTCAGGCTCATACAAGCTAATCAGCTTGATGTAGTTCCTGTCGACTATCAGAGCAAGACAATATTGATCGTGGAGTTTTCAACTCCTGGCGAAACGAATATCGTCAGAAAAGAAGAGGAAAAACGAATAAAGTATCGAGAATTTGTCTTCGTACTCCACAGATTCTATCCAGAACACTTCGTCAGAATGGTTGTTTTGAGTTCCTAGTTGGTGGAATGATGCCCTCTCTGCTCTCAAAACTCAAGATCATGCCGGCTTGTTGTACTGAGGCAGCCGGAAAAATGCAGAAGGCTATCATTCTTGGCTCACTGCATCTGTTTAGGGACTCGGAACCAATGATCAGTCACCCCACGGTGTGTGGAGTGGCCATTGGTTGATAATGAATGTATCGGGGCTTCAGGAGATAGGACTCGGACAGCGCAACCTAAGGACTTTGCAGACTCTATCCAGACCATTCGGTTAAGATGGTCGTTCTGATTATTGGTATTCTTGGTGGAACGATGCTCTCTCTATTACCTCTCTTGCAGCATTAAGGTGGAAATTTTGGTCAGACAAATGTGTCGGAGCTTCTGGGACACAACCCAGTCAGCTTAACCTTCGAGAAAAAAATAAAAATAAGATAATAATTCATCAACCACTGTTGGTACATCAAGTACATATGGTAAATAATGAGTACATCATAACTGAACATATGAATAAATAAATAAATATAATGAATGGGTAGATACAAATTTATGGATCATCAGATATGTAATAAATTTACCAATAATAAGTGTATTCATATACTCATACATTCATAAGACATTATGTCAATCGGAAACAATTCAGCAACAGATAAAAGCACCTGCAAAAATTAAAAATGAAATGCAAATTGGTCGGAGAATAAAACGTTGAAAATCAAACATATAATACATACCGCTTCATGATTATTGCAAAGTCTGTGTCTATTGAAATATCATTCATATATGAGGAATATATGTCAAGGATCTTATGAGTCACAATATTTGAAGATTTTTGGATTTTGGTTGGGTCAAAGTGGGTTTCTTCTTCATCCAGCTGTTGTCACCTAACAACAGACAACCCTAACAGAATAAATCAGCATTTTATACAATCATCATCGAATAAGTCTGAACCTGAACAACATTTGCTCAATAAGTATATTCAAAGTAAAAAATCTATTTTTGGGGAACTCTCTCATTTTTCAACAGTTACTGTCGAAGAAATTCATAAATGCTTGCTAGAGGTGAAATCACTAGCTACTGGACCATTCGCTACTCATTATTAATTAACCTTGTTCTCTATAACTGCTGTTTGTGTAGCAATAAAAACATTTATTATTATTATTATTACATTCTCTTTGTTTCAGGTATATTTTTTTAGCCATTTATACCCTCGAGATGATAATAAAAACGATCGCGAAAGGTTTTATATTGAACAAATACACATATCTGCGAAATCCATGGAATTGGCTGGATTTCGTCGTCATCACCAGCGGGTATGCCACCATCGGGATGGAAGTGGGAAATCTGGCTGGACTGAGGACGTTCAGGGTGCTCAGGGCGTTGAAGACAATCTCTATTTTACCAGGTGAGTCCTCATCTATTTCATAGATTTTGATCAAAAGTATGAACAAAGCTCTACATTCAATACTAATAATAATAAAAATAATGATAATAATGAGCGTAATAATAAGCGCAGGCCTCTCNTACAATATAAGCGTAACCTCTCTATGGCCTGGATCGATTACCGTAAGGCATTTGATACAATATCGCATGAGCTCATCTTGCATCTCTGGTAAACTCGCTTCACCATAACATCTTGTCAAGCTAGAGTCCAAACAGGGTGGGTCACTTTCAGAAGGGGTGTATTTCAGGGTGATTCCCTCAGCCCCCTTCTATTCTGCATCTCACTACTGTCATTATTCGTTGGGCTCAGAAATACACGAGGGTATAACTGTGATCTTCCATTTGTTTCATATGGATGACCATAAACGTTATGCCTCTGGAGAGAAGGATCTCCATCAGGGTGATGGAAGAGTACACGCATGCTATCGGTATGAAATTCGGGATAGACAAATGTGCAATGGTAGATCTTAAAAGAGGACGATGCGGGGACTACGGAGAGGATGTGCAGCTCGTAGATGGAAGCATCCTACACCATCTGAATGCCGAAGAGACGTATACTTACCTCGGAGTGGAACAACGCCACTCACAAGACGTAACAGCAGTGAAGAACTCTCCCCGCGGCAAGTACCAGCACAAACTTCGACAGATCTGGTCATCGCAACTGTCGGAGAAAAACAAAGTTGCTGCAACAAATATGCTTGCCGTTCCAATCTTATTCTACTCGTTTGGAGTAGTGAAGTGGACTCGGGAGGAGCTGTATCAACTCCACGTAAAGACCCGAAAAATGATGCATCTCTATAGGAGTTTGCATCCTAAATCATCCGTTCCACGGTTGTACTTCTCCCGACAACAGGCAGGCCCTGGACGTTTGAGTTTGGAGTGTCTATATGGCAGAATGGTACTGGATACAGCCTGAACAGTCGTCAGGAGTTCAGATCCCCTTCTCTGCATTGTCCGTGACCATGAGAGAGCAGGAATTGGAGCATTTCTCTTTAGGGCAGCTGCACGAGCAGCTGATGAACTCTGTTTAGTTTTCGACACTGAACGAGGTGACCACAACTCTGTCACCGAGTTGCAACCCGTTCAGCAAAAAGCTCATATGAAAACCGCTGAGATCATCTTACTTCTGCGGAAACACAAGGATGAGCCAATGCATGGGGTCTTCTTCAATAACATTGAAGTCCTTGGCTTATCAAATCGCCTGACTCTCGCTTTCTTCAAGTTGAGTGGGCTGAAGTCGGAAACTGAGGGGTTCATCATGGCTTGCCAAGATGATGTCTTCAACACCTTAGTCTATCGCAGTCGTGTGATGGGTTAAGAGGTTCCTGATACAAGGTGCAGGGCATGTCGCGTGGCGCCCGAGACCCTAATGCACTTGCTATCAGCATGTCCAGCATATGCGGTCTCGGCCTATATCCATTGACGTAACGCGGCCCTAAGAGAGCTATATTACCATCTACGGCACTCTTACGGTATTGATGAGACACCGTTGTTGCCCTACGCTCCGGGGGATATTGAATCCGTTGCGGGGAACGAGAAGTGCTGAATTTATGGGAACTATTTGTTCCCCACCCATCAGAGCAAGACGATATTTGTCGGGGAGTTTTCAGGTCCTGGCGAGACGAATATCGAGAAATATCGAGAAATATCGAAATCTTCTCTTTGAACTCCGCAGACTCTGTCAAGATGGTTGTTCTGATTTTTGGAGTCCTTGGTGGAGTGATGCCCTCCCTACTCTCGAATCTTAAAATCATACCGGCTTGCCGCACTAAGGCAGAAATCTTAGCCGCACAGATGCAGAAGGCTGTCATTCCTGGCTCACTGCGCTTGCTCAGGGTACATGATTCTCGGACACAATGATCATTCACCCCAGGGTATGGGGCGAGGTTATTGGTTGATAATGCTGGCGGCGCACCCTCCCGAATGCATCGGGGCTTCTAGAGATAGGGCCTGAGCAGCGCAAACTACGGTTGATAAAGGTTTATTCACAGTAAACAACATATAAATACAATTCAAAGTATATCTGTTTAAAAAAAATATTGAATGTTTGGGAAAAGACTCACCAACTGACAATCACAAATTCAACTAAATAATCAAATATTGAACAAGAAAACAAGAGTAAAATAATTGATGGTAGCAAACAAATTTCTGTCCTAAATTGGATTTCAAATTACCAGCAAATGGACCACAAATGAACCAATTTGTTGTATTACTGAATGTAGAGTTGCGCTGTGAATCGTAAAGACAGACCGTGAATTGTTTTTAAAATATGGAGCTTTTAGGGGAGTTCATACACCGATGGTGCACGGGACGCAATTGTAGTATAATTAATCTAAATTGCTCGAAAATCTGGAGGTGTCAAACAATTTCTTTCTTAAAATTTCGTGAATTTATCGGTACTTTAACAAAATAGAATCCGGCGTTTGCTATTTGCCATACTTCTCTGGTGAGTATTTAGGCTGATTTGTTTCTTAAATGATTTTTTTTTATGATCTTGTACGAAATTCACCACACCATACCATTTCGATGGTCCAAAATTACCGTCATACCTCCCTCTCAAACATGTCATTTTTCAAAATTCGAAAAACTTTCTTTCAGTGTGGCAGTTAAATCGGAAAGTTGATTTTCAGCGACGTATTTTAGCTCCAACTTGTACGAGAGGTACAAGTACTCATAACAGTACTTCCAAGTTATATTTATATTTTTTCATTGTCACGCTTTTTCAGTAATTATCACATACTGTGACATCGCCATCCCATGCACCGTTTATGCGTGGGATGGCGATAGAACTGATTCTATATCCAGTGAATTGTTCTTGATTTTTTTTCTTTGTAATTTTCCATCCGGTCTATTGAAGTAGGACTATCCTCCATTGAATTTGACTAGTATTTCAAATACAGAACTTAACTACGTAGAATATCAAAGGGAGGTTTTGAATATTTCTCAGTCTTCTATTCATTGGTACAGAAGAAACAACACCATTTTCGCATAATGAAACCTTCCATAATTAATTCCCAACTTTGTTAATTAAATGAAGCGGGATACAGTCGTATCAGGAACATTTTGAATAAACTTCTTGCCTGCAGAAGAAAGTTATGTACGAAACCGTTAAAAACAGAATTATGCATTCATGCAAGATGTTTCGTTATTCCGTTTTTGTACAAGGTATTCAGTAATTATCTATGTCGTACATTCCGCAACATTGTATTTTTTCTCTCCGAGAGTAAAATCGAAACGATAGATTTTTTTATGAAATACACCTCCTAGGCACCAGAAAATTCATTTTAATGACGTGAAACTCTGAAAAGAGAACAGTTTTCGTCATAATAATTGAATATTGTGTTTTTTACTGCTCATTCACCGAGGCATTTGTCCGCGCAGACAAATGGTCCATGTCGTTATAAAGACAAAAAGCTTTTTCTGATGCACTCAATATCAAAGTATCTATTGAAAACGGATATTCGGTTATTCACTTTAGCTATCACAAGTTTTGAATAATTAAAAATGTATTCTCTCCAACCCTCTTTTCATCGTATATCAACGACTTATTAAAAAAACAATGATCCAATATATTGCTTTGTTGACGACAGCTGTCTCAACATTCCATTTAGATTCTAGGACATCGGATGCGGATGCACATCTTCACCGGCAGTAGGAGGTTAGAAGTGATTTCGAATTGAGGTAAAAGTAACCAGGTTCACTCCAATGCCGCAAAAACCCATGCATCAGTTTTCTCCATAAACATAAATATTTCCGAATCGGCCATAATAATGTCCGTTTTCTGCTTCGATAAGTTTGTTGAAGGGGTAAAATGGACACCATTTGGCACAACCATGTCGCTGGAATTGCAAAGGTTGCTTCTCGAAAGATTAAAACACTGTTTCAAACCAGAAAACTGTACACACCTCAGCAACTTTTGATGCTGTATAAAGCTCAGATTAGACCTCCTTTGGAGTACTGTTCTCATGTATGGAGCTCCACCCCTAAGCATATACTGAACCTGCTGGATTCCATCTAGAAAAGAGCCATCTATCTGATTGGAGACGTGAACATTACTCGCAACCTTGATAGTCTAAAACAGGGGTCTCCAAACTACGGCCCGCGGGCCGGGTCATCAATTCGGCCCGCGACAGCCAATGATTACCTAATTGTTGTTACTATTGCTGTGATAAGTTGAAGAAGAAAACGCAGAATGATAATTACTCGGTTTTATTTACTTGCAAGGTATAACTTAACGACAGAAATGATGACAAAGAAAACTTAACTTAAGTATCTAAGTTTAAGCATATTAATAACTAACAAATAATTGAAATGAATCACAGTAAAAC